GTTAACATCCACTTACTAATTTAAAAGTTATAGCATGAAAACTATAACAAGCACAAAATGGTTACGAGGTCGTCACATTGATCAACTCCGTATTGAAAGAGTTAAGAGCTACTAAGAAATTGTGTAACTCATTCCATACTTCAAAAAATTTGGCAAGCTTTCATTAAACATTACACACTGACCAACCCCATATTGAAAGAATTAAAGGATTCAGTTTGAGATGGGGAATCTAATAGCTTTGGTAATGCAAAACTGTGCTTTATTTTTTGGTATTATATCGTTCTTTTTATTTTCTTAACTTGGAAAAAAATAAGTATATAATCTTAATGTATTTTCAATTATATAATTGGTTAAAAATTAAAAAATTTAATTCTTAGCTATTTTACTGTAGGACAGTATAAAAAGAAAAAAAATTGTATATTTGAAATTTAACTAACAACTTAAATGAGTTAAATAATTAGGCATAATGAAAAAAAAACAAAGATCTAGTATAGGAAGTATAGTTAATTTTTCATTGCAAACAGACATTTTTAAGCTATTTGTTAACAGTATGTTACTGGTTGTAGTTTTACAGTTAAAGTTAAAAAAGTCATAATTTATTTCACAAGCTAAGTAACTTATGTGTGAGAAGGGATTTTATATTTTTAAATGCATTTGATTTATAATTTATTTTTGTGGAAAAACAAATGCTTTTACAGAATGAATTAAAATTAACTTTTGCTACTAAGATATTTCTCACCTACTTAAACATAAGTAATGAATATGCATGCATAAAACTAACAGATCTATTAATGAATTTCACAGTACTACTTTACAGTGATATTAATATAGCTTGATAAAATTATTATTAGTCAAAGATTTGCTTTTCACATGTGTCTTTTCATGCCATGGAGTAAAACAGTCCTCAGGATTCATAACTATATTTTCTATCATGTTTTTAGAATTTACAACTTATATTATGTTTTTTGATAAAATCAGATATCTTCTGTTCATTTTCAATGGAAAAAATTGTTAATTACCGTAACAGTATTTATACTTAATGCAAATTACACTTAAGTGAACATATATCACTAAAACGGTTGTGACTACAACATTAATCCTTGTTCTAAAACTTCTCATCAACAGTAAAAAACATTACTTTGATGTTGTGGTTTAACTTCACAACTGTATATTGATTCATTCAATAGGTGTAACTTTGTCAAATGCTCTTGTGAATGCTGGAATCACATCTTTTCATATTCTGGAAGAGACAAATCCAAGAGAGTTAGAAATGGTGAGGTTTATTTTGTTGAATGTAAACAGACAAACTCAGTTTGTTTACTTCCTGTAAGTATTGTTTATTTTCTCATCACTGTTAACTATAAATAAATTAATACAGACATTAGTACAGGTTAAGTTGCACTAGCTGAATAACAGCAACTTCATGCTGGGTTAAACTGAGAGGACATTTATTCCTAATATCATGTATGTGCTTAAGAACTCTCAAAATAACTCCTCTATGCATAATCCATGAAATTCCTCATTATCATTGGACTCATAGATAGTAGTCTCCACCCTGATAAAAATTATCTCAGGAGCTCTCAGTACAAAGTGCATGACCCCAGATAAGATGCAGAAAAAAATAAAGAAACTTAAATTTGAATATGTAATATAAATTTGCTCTGAAAAAAACAACAAAAAACTGATGTACTTACTAAAAATAGATGCCAGTCTCTCACAGAGGTTTTCTCATAAACAGTTAATTCCAATATATATAGTTTAACTATATATATATGGTTACATTAACTTGTGGTGAACTATTCCAGGTTATTACATTTGTGACCATATCGACCAGTAATACCCCATTGCAACACCATAATTTTAGTAATTGGATTATGATACAAAATGTTAGTCTATTTTTTCAATTTTGGGAAAGCTACTTGAGGGCTATCTGCCCTAACCCTCCATAATTTTAAAGTTATAGACTGGTGGTAAAGCAGCAGGTTAACATCACCCACTGCCAACTCTTGGCTACTTTTTACCATTGACTAGTGGGATTGACAGTCACATTATAATGCCCCTACAGCTGAAATGGTAAGCATGTTTGGTGACACGATTTGATCTTACGACCTGCATATTGTGAGTCAAGTGCTCTAACCACTGGCTATGCCAGGTACTGATACAAAGCTTACTTATACTAACTATATATATTATTTTATATTCTCTCTGCTACAGACTGTGCTCTGAGATTTAGGAAGAAAAACAAATTCTTGTTTTCAGGGAGGTTTGTTCTCTTCTCTTTTTTTTTGTGAAAGCCAAGTGAATAGAGGTCAGGAACACAAAATATAACACAGAACAATTACATCATAAAAAAGTTTAATCTATTCTCAAAGAAGGTGAACAACTGTGGGGGAGGAGTAAGTTAAATTTGAATATTAAGATAAAGTTGGTTACTACTTTGAAAGGAATAAATTGAAGATTTTTCAGTTTAATTTTTATGTATGTTTGTTCTTTAAACCTGCTTGAAGTAATATGATTTTAAAATGTTATAAGGGATTATTACAAGGAAAAGCATTGGATTAGTTGTTTTGTTTGATTATGATGAATATATAATATGTGAAAATGTTCTTTACAATGCCTTTTTAGTGTTAAGGGAATTTCTTCAAATGTATACAAACTGAGAAAATATTATAGGTTTGACATGTAATAAGCTGTGGTATTTTTGGATGTATAACTTAAATTATCCACCCCATGGTTGTTCATTCACTTAAATGTTAGTACTCTGTGTATTTCATTTAGATAATCATACTTACTTTTTGTTTAATTTTTGAAATCTCTTCCTATGTAATTTACAGAAGAAGGAGAACAAACTTCTGTAAAAGCTAGGACTGTCTATTCCCTCATTGTTTATTTTTTACTCATTTATATTTTATCCTTTTTTTTTAGTTTTAACTTGTGGTATTGATTTTAGATACTGATGGTATTGTTGGTCAGCTTGTATTTCTCTTTATTGTTCTAAACCAGTCAGTGTTCTGGTTTTTAAATGTTCAGTGCCCCCACCCACAGATGAGCTTATTTTCTTAAACAGAAATATACAGTGTTATTTAAATCTCTAAGAAAACTGTCATGAAATTTTTTTTTTCAGTTGACACGTTTAATTTGTGTTTGTATTGTAGTTTTCTTCCATATATTGAATATCTGAATGCACTTTATCCACACATAGGGATAACTTACTGTATTCACTTATTTAAATTATATACTGAGTGATAGTTTTTTATTTCTTACAGATCACAAATAGGCATCCTCCATTTGGAACTCAACTACGTGACACAGTGGAACACCTTCCTAAATATGAAATAACAATTGAACAGGTTCTTACACATTTAGTTCTTTTTTTGTTGTTGTTAAAGTTCCTCAGTTAAATAGTATGATTTGTTTATATTTATCATAAAAGTTATCATTGTGTTTGTCTTTTTCAGGAACATTGAGAGACAGCATGGGCCCCAGGGTAAACATTTTTGCCAGGCCCCCTTTCTCTCTCTCTTTTTTTAACATTTT